ACAAAGGGTGATAGTGACACTTGAAGAGTTGGTGCTAAGCACTGTCCAACACACTCAGTTTACACACACACACACACACACACATAGAGTAAACACAGCCATATATCACCACACAGCCCTGCAGGGAACAAACCATTACTCCCCACTGAGGTGCTCTATCATAATCTCTTTGGCTTGGCCTCACACAGACACACCATGAAACAAATGCCAGGGCATCGGCACCTGCAAGAGACCTTTTAAAATGGCTGGAAGAAAGGGTGAAAGGCCCTCCGTATTCTCTGGCTCTGTATGTTAGCGTGGACAAAGTGAGGACCTTATCTAAAATAGCATCTTAAAAAGGATTTTTTTTTTCATTGAAATGGTATCATTATATTCAGTGTCATATCAGTGTAGAGGAAGACAAATGTTTTTCTATTCAATCAGTCTGCTGAAGCTCTTGTTTCCCATGATGTTCAAACTTTTATTTACCTTCAAATCCCTTTTGGTTAATGCTGTTCGACTTTATGAAGCCATCTCTATTATCATCCGCCCACGCCGTCAGATTTACTTGAACACTGGCATCAGAGATTGAATTAAGGAAAATAAATTGCACAGTACTTTGATTAAAAGTTAGACTGTTAGAGATGTTAATGATGCTGGTTGAAGATAAAATGTGTGGCAGGCTGAGATGAGAAATGAGAAAATGGATCCAGCAACAGCAGAGAGTTTATTGGTGAAGCCTCAGTGAAGCTGTGAGGATGAATTCAAACTGGCTCTACCTTTGTTGCTACACTTCACAGACATAAATCTATGAACAAAAGCAGATGTGTGCATTTACTCATATGTGGAAATACACATACACATCTACACCGTTGTATTCAGTAGTGCACCAGGTCAGCGGAAAGCACAGAGACAGGGGTGCAGGGTCATTTCATAACCTCTCTCCTGCCTGTAAACTGCACTCCCATCTACACTTTCATCCCACACAACTCCACTCCCACCAACAGAGTCGCTTTGATAGTGAGTATCCAGGTAGGAAAGAGGGAAATGTCACCAAAAATGTTGTCTTCAGATTCAGACAACTTTATTATCCCTGAGAGGTCAATTGTTGTACAGCCAGTAGCAATGTCACCACATAATCAACAACATACAGTAATAAAACATTAAAAAAAACCATCAAACACTGTTGTGTAGCCACAACCAGTGGTAAGTAATAACAGCTTTAAGCATTTAAAAAAAAAAAAACTAAATCATTTTTAAATTTTTTTGTCCTGCATGTTGGCATCTTATAGCTTCAACCAGATGGTAGCAGTAAAAAATGAATTAGACAAAGGGCTTCTTAACCTTTCAGCTAAAATGTGAGGCTGTATGCAGCTAAAAACAGAAGAAAAATCAATAAAACTAAACATACAAAGGTATTGGGCCCCCTCCAGATGACTCAAAATCTAATTAAGCAGGGTGCCAACAGCATCACTGACACCCCTCTTTGGGCAGTAAGTAAACTGAAGAGGATAAAGATTTAACTGTACTTCATTTAAAACCATGTCTTTAACAATCTTCTCAAATATTTTCGTAATGAGAAGAGTTAAAGCCATGGGTCTAAAATCATTAAGGAGCTTTGGTGACTTAATTTTGGGGACAGGTATAATGATAGATGATTTCCAAAGTCTAGAAACCCGATGAAGTTTAAACATGAAGCAAAATAATAACTAATCAGCACAATTCCTAAAGAGAGTTAATGTTGACATTTTCTTGTTCCTGCTTTTGAGCTCCATGAGCTTTGGATCAGATGCCACCTGACATTTCCTACATATAAATGTGAAAAGCGTTTTTTTTTTAATGTAATTAAATGACATTAGGCACTTGAGATACTCTTAGCAGCCTAAATGGTGCATACCACAGTTTAAGATGCTGCCTGTATGAAGAAAACTCACATAAGTCTTCAGTTATCCAACAAGCTGATCCATATCAAGTCAATTTAAGATGGTTTTGAGTTTGTAACCCTAATTTGACAATAATTTCTTGTACATATTTATTTTAAACTTTGTGTGTTGGAAATAAGTCTTAGAACTCAAACGATCCAGAGTTCACCAACTGCTTTCTTTCCTGTTTCTCTGCGTCTCTGTTCTTGAATGGTCTTTCATGCAAAGTGTTCATTAGGAACATAACCTTTTACTTTGAATTATACTACAACTCACTCACTCTACAACTGCTTGCCTGTAGGTTTAATGAAAGTGTTTGACCATTAGTTGTTCATGTTGCACTGATGAGCAGGCCCTCAGTCAGTCAGCTTACCTGCTAGCCAGCTGACCAGTCAGCAATTCAAGCATGCATCCCTCTATCCATCCGTCTGCAACAGGCAGCCAGTCAGCCTGCCAGCTGGCAGGTGCTGAGGTGGCTGAGCCCTGTGCGGCTGAAAGAGTTGTGACTGCAGCTCAACTGTACAATTGGGCAGAAGTGTGAGGCAGATTGGAGACCATCTGCTTCCTTTTCTGTCTCTCATTTTACTTCATTTGTTTACATTTTACTTTCTTTTAGCAGATTAATCTTGTGTTTCTGTTCATTTAATTTTTTTACTTGGTTACATTTCCATCTCCCCTTTTCATCATCATCTTTTCTTTCCGTCTCTATTAAGTGGTCGGACATGGAAGTGACCTGTGTTTAATCAGGTACAGTAATGGGCCCATACTGGACAAATAAAACACTGTTTTCATTGCCTCTTTTTTTCACATCATTTTTTGTTATATTTTGACCTATTATGCACTTCATTTTTAGCCTACCCATACTACTGAGTCTGTACTACTGTCTGCTCCTATGAGTGCTCTGTTTCCTTGTTCGCTGTGTATCTGTCTCTTCCGGCTTTCTCCTTTTTATCCATGCAGATGGTCAGTGTTGGTCCTCAGTGGAAGTTGTCTTGTTTGCAAGCTAAATCCCATTTTATAAAGATATGCCCTATTTTATAACTGTTGTCATTACTGTAGCAGACTAGTTTTGGACATTTAATGAGCTCTACTTTGAGGATTGCAGAATGAAGTGTACATCTGTTCTCATACAGTACCTGTTAGAAAATTTTCCTTTGTTATGCTCAACAGGATATGTCTTTTTTCACTATTCTTTAGGCTGTGTAGAGTTTTCACATGTAGATTGCAGTTTAATTAACATATAGCTGACTATGTCAACAGATGTGGAGGCAGGTTCTCATTTATTTTCCTTGTAAAGCTGTTGGACATTAAAGCTGCTGTTGAACATTTTATTACCTTTTCATCGCAGGCACCCGTGCATAGGCTTCTGTGTGTGTGTGTGTGTGTGTGTGTGTGTGGGAATAGAGCAGTAATATTGGTAGGCTGCTGCCTGGGGCATTTTTTTCCTATTACTGTATTGAATAGAAAATGTCTACTTCCAGCAGTTGCTTCGTAGGCTCACTTTATATAATATAATGTTTACAAGGTGGTATCACCATTGGATCAGGCACTGTATCCTCACTGCCCCACATCTCTATGTGCCCTGCTTGGAACAGACATCTTCATTTAACATTTTAGGTACTGGTGACATGGCAGGTCTAAGTGTTGACAGTGATAAATATTTATAGAGAGAATATGAAAGGCACTCTTTATAAATTGTGTCATTTGTTAAATGCATCTGATCTGATATTGGGCTGGCGGTCATTATTGTCACATTGTTTTGTAGTAGCTTTGTCTATTTTAAGGTCCATACAGGTAATCAGAATCAGAATCTGCTTTATTGGTCAGGTGTGTTGGACACACAAGGAATTTGACTCTGGTACATTGGCTCTGAATATCCCCATGCAAGGGGCAAGTAAACAGTAAACCAGCATAAGGCTGTGTAATATAACATAAATAATAAGCAGTAGTAACAAGCAGTGCAAACAATGCAAAATAAGCAGTATAAACAGGCAGTAAACAATGCAGACAGACAAGGAATGCTCATTGCAGGTAAAGAACTAAACTGGCAGGCAACCATGTTTAGTTTATATACAATACAGTATATGTGAGCATATACTGTACTCATGTGTCTGTGAGTTTGTGTGTGCTTAAAAAATTGTAGGCTGGGCAGGTAACTGACCAGTAGCAGTAGGCTACCTGATACCTGACGGCGCTTAAATGAGGTAGAGGATTATTTGAGACAGAGCATCAATGCTGATTGAATTGGCTGGTCCTGAAAAAGACATTCAGGGTTTTGTCAGACTGAAGAGAGACGGAAGGAAGCTGTTAATCTAATTTTAAGTCTGAATGGATGTCTGGTTGCCTGGTGGCTGATGAGTCTTATAGGAATAGACCAAGTTTTTAGAAGATTGGATTAGATGAATAATATATCCTGTAGGTGATAAATACATTTCGTAAACACACAAATAAACATCTGTGTATCTCCCAAGTAGTCTCTTGTCCTTGCAAGCACTCTATTTTAATTCAGTGATTGTGCATTTACCGCATACACTTTAACACTTTGGCAAGCCACAGGCAATAGCTTTCATCCACAACAGGAAATTAGACTAATTTATCACTATGCTACGCTAAATGCCCTCAGATGCATGTCTCTTTCACAGTAAACTGAGAAAACACACACCAAAAACTGAAGACAGCAGGAGAACAACACAGCTGTCAACATCACACCCACTTCTCTGTTTTGAAGTAAAATTATTATAATCTAACATAAAATAAACTTGTTATAGCATAGAGAAAAAATGTTTTTCTTGTCTGTAACCACATACCTATGAATTGGTCTTTCTGAATGTGAACTGCTGTGTTTTCACTGTGCTACATGGCTTCATCTTCCAGTGCTTCTCACCACACTATAAACTGTGCTTTGTCATTGCTTATCAGCTACAAGGTGAATGTGTGTGCAACTGTATGAATGGGAACAAGAACAAGAGCAACTAGATCAAAAAAGTCTTCACTGGTTAGATCAAGACTATACATGTGCCACAGTGCTCTGTACTTGTTTTGTTTTTTTTTTTGAGCAGACAGCTAATCGCCACTTCTGTCTCTTTTTTCTTCCTCCAGTCACAGATGAAGACACAGTGAAGAGATACTACGCAAAGTTTGAAGAGAAGTTCTTTCAGACCTGTGAGAAGGAGCTCCTGAAAATCAATACCTTCTATTCAGGTATTTTTTTTTACCTCAGGTACACTCCATTGATTCTGCTCTGTAGTACTTTCCTCACCTGCAAATAGTCTGAAATTTTTCATGAGGTGTGTAATAATACATAGTTTGTATAAAGCACTGATTCCATGTCTGTGTCAGGTTGATGCACAGTGTTTTGCACCGTTTACTGAGCTGCCTGTTTCAGTGCCAGATGACATTGTGTCTAATCTTGGCCACTTGACTGAAGTAGCCAGTGGTGGTTGTCTTCAGGCCAGCGGGGCTGCCCGTGTGTATTTCAGGGAGTGAGGGAGTACATGTGTGCCATGTAACCTGAGATGGAAGTCATAATATATTCTGGTACCAGAAGGTTGCCTTCTAGTCTTGAACTTCAGCTCTAGGGTCAGTTTGGATATTTAAAGACAGACAGTGCTTGCTCTAGAGGATTTTTATGAAATTATAGGCTCTCTCAAATTTGGTTTCATTTTAATATACTCTGTGCCATAGTTTGTTTTGTTGTAAGGTTTGCAACTGCTAAAGACTAGTGGTCAAATGAAATCAGCAACTCAATTGTAGTTTTTTTGGACTATTAACAAGAGAGTACGTCTGTTTTAAGCAGATATTGAAGAAGGTTCTCACGTCATACAAAACAACAGAACAAAAAAAGAAGAATGGGAGGAAAAATGTAAAGGGGCAAGTTTATATTATACAATGACTGAACTTGTGATTTCTGATTGGTTAAAAAAAAAAAGAAAGTCAGAGAATGAAAGCTACTTTCTCTCAGTGCAAGAATGAAATGCAGGTCCTGCCCAGGCCCCGTGTGGTCCCCCCCCTCGTCTCTGGGTATATTAACCTATTGCTGACCCAGATTATGGTTCCTGGCTCAGCAGCATAGTCTGTAGAGGACAAGGGTGTATAAAATGTCTTTTTGAAGTTGTCACCTTCTCTGTAGCTCATTACAGAAACCTGTCCTAAGATCAGCTCTTACCAGTAGTTTGTCAGGCAAGAGCCAAAGTGAAGAGACTACCTTCTCTCCTCCCTCAGGCATAATGTTTAGACTTTCAACAGTGAAGAACATTTTGCTTAACAGGTTTTAATCTGCTTACTAATGCTGTTTATTTTAGTTTTGTGTGTTTTGTTATTGTTAATCATTAATAACTCATTTTTGTCATGTGACACACTTTAAAATTTAAACACAAGACAGTGATACTGAATTAAATTTAATTCAAAACCAACAGTACATAATATAACTGGACTCAACACTGAGTCACCGCATCAGACTACAAAGAATTTAACCACTGAATAAGAGTAGTCAGGTATACAGTGGTAAAAAGTAGAAGGTTTTAGCTGTTCTGCGCAGCTTCAAGGTGTGTATGTATGAGTTATAAAAATATATGAATGTGATGCAGAAACCTGGAACCTCTTTTTCCTTCTCATCTTGCCCACTGTAGAAAAGCTTGCTGAAGCACAGAGACGTTTTGCCACGCTGCAGAATGAGCTGCAATCTTCACTGGATGCACAACGTGAGAGCAATGCTCCGCCCAGCCTGCTGAATCGCAAGACGAGGTTCCACCTGTCACAGGAGGAGCGATGCAAACACCACAACATCAAGGACCTGAAGCTTGCCTTCAGCGAGTTCTACCTCAGTCTCATCCTGCTCCAGAACTACCAGGTTTCACAACACACATGCCTAAATGCATTTCCATTTGAAAGCAAAAAGTTCTTCAGAGAAATTTTAAGAAGTGTGTAAGACAAAAGAAGAAAATGCTTTAGAATAATGACCACCAATATATTCATATAAATATGCATTCTTCCATGTTACAGCTAATGTTTCTTGTGGCCTTTTGTCTATATTAAATGGGCCTTCCAGTCCGTTTGCCTGGTATGGCTGTGACAGTTGTTTCCTTGTTGCTGTCAACAGAATCTGAACTTCACCGGTTTCCGTAAGATCCTGAAGAAACATGACAAGATCCTGGACACTACTCGTGGGGCTGACTGGCGTGTGGCTCACGTGGAGGTGGCACCTTTCTACACCTGCAAGAAGATCACACAGCTCATCTCTGAGACAGAGGTGCTTGCTTATATTGCTTATATGTACACAAATACATACATAAATGCACACTATAATGCAAAGATGTTGGTGGAAAAGAAAGAACATAACTATCCAATAAAAGTTATAACACTGAATGTGATTTTTTTGTTTTGTTTTTGTTTTTGTTGTCTGTTTGTCTAGACTGTGGTGACTGTAGAATTGGAGGGAGGAGATCGTCAGAAGGCCATGAAGAGATTGAGAGTTCCTCCACTGGGGGCAGCTCAGGTCAGACATGCTGTTACTCACACTGCATATACTGTATCTGTTAGTGATATGAGCCTGACCTGTGCTTCCCAAGACTTGGGACTTACAGTGTCTTTAAACATGCAGTTATGAGCTGAAAATGCAGAACAGTGATCAGTTCAATCATGTCAACTCTTTTTCCTCTTCATTTTGTATAAATCATTTTATTTTTAGAGGAAGCCATTGGGCTGCAAACCTTTAGTTATATTTTATGTAAGAACTCAAGAAACTGACTTAGTAAATGTGTGCAAGTATATAAGTGCAGTTTTTTTGTTGCATACATCATTTTCCAAATCCCCAAAATATAAAATTACCCAAGAACAAATTTGGCACTGTGCCTGAGAATGTCTCAGTAAGTCTAATCATTAATCTTACTTGTGCTCTTGTTTTTGATTAGAGGTAAGCAAAGATTAAAAACACAAGGTGAGAAGCTTGTCATGAGAGAGAATGTAAGAGAACCCATATTGATTTTCTAAGTGCCTTTCCACTGTTAGACTGACAGAACATTTTTCAGAAATGATGTAGGCTTGTGGTGCTTTTTGTGCCATATGACGATTCCATTTTGCCTGTAGGAATATGTGTAATAAATATGTTCATGATAGTGAAAGAAGTGGCTTTACTGTATATTGAGATGTAGTCTAAGTTGTAGTTACATGAAGTATGTTTTATCTGATTGGTTCTAGATGCATATGCAGTTGCTGAACTTGTTCGTTTATATAGTAGGTGTCTGTATTAATAGTGTCCTTCTGTGTTGCTCTTCACCTGGTTCAGCCTGCTCTGGCCTGGACAACCTTTCGTGTTGGTCTCTTCTGCGGCTTCTTTATTATTCTTGCCATAGCCTTCATTCTCTCTGGTAAGTACATAAACATTTGAAATCATGCATTGTTAATATCCTTTGTTACATAGTTTTAGGTAGATTGAGATTTATTGAGAGCATGACATGGAGGCTCACCCCCCCACCCACACACACACATATTTATATCAAGCAGACAGTCCAGGGCTAAACAACAGAAAATCCACTGTGTTTATCAGGTGCTGTGTTCATCCGCTTGAAGAACGTGTGGCCTCTTGTGCGGATTTATCGGGGCGGTTTCCTGTTAATCCAGTTCCTTTTCCTGTTGGGCATTAACACTTATGGATGGAGACAGGCTGGAGTCAATCATGTCCTCATCTTCGAGATTGATCCCCGAAACAACCTCTCACACCAACATCTGTTTGAGGTCAGAATGAGGAAATTAATTCAAGCTGTTGTTTCTGTTACTAAATGAGAGTCTGAGTTTTTCTCTGTAGTGAAGGCAGTCAACTTTGTTTTCAACTTTGAGACTGATAACTATGCATTTTTAAGATATGAAATAGGAACAAATGGGATTTTCAGTTAATAGAGTAATCTCTGATCTGTGTAAGACAAGGTGATTTAATTCAGCATAAACAATGCATGTCCTATGTCCACAGGTTTTCATTTACACTTTAAAAATAGCTAAACACAAAGTAATTTGCAATGAATTATTCCATTTCCTTTGTTAATTGTGATTAATGTGTCAAAAGAGCTTTCCATAATGCCAGTCTTTCCTGTTTCTTCTCTCTGTGCTGTAGATTGCTGGTTTCCTGGGTGTGGTATGGTGTCTCAGCATCCTCTCCTGTCTGTACTCAGAGTACACCTACATCCCCACACAGATCAATCCGCTCATCCTTTATGGCTTCATGGTGCTTTTCCTCATCAACCCTTTCAAGACCTGCTACTACAAGTCACGTTTCTGGCTTCTCAAGCTGCTGGTCAGTCGACGCATTTATTAGATTATCTCTCTGAAACTTGTTTGCTATATTTGAAAGAATATATCTGACTGGATGTACTAATGTATCAGACTTTTATATGTTTTATTAGAAATAAACAGCAGCACAGTGTGCCTTTTTGTGAGGGGACATTTCTCATTTATTTGATAATGGGTCACAGAGCGGAGTACAGGAAATGTAGGGAACTAGAGAGGGGGAGACATGGGGGAAATAGAGAGGGGGAGACATGCAACATACAGTAGATCCACAGCTGGACTCAAACCGTAGACACAAACTTGTAGCATGTGTCACAACCACTTAATTATCAGGACGCACCAGCAAGAGCCATCTTTAATGTGAAACCTGTAGTTAGTTGTATTAAAGGTGATGGTGGTTATTTGTATGGATGTACACAGTATAATAGAACACATGGACTCAACCAGTCATTTGTTTTTACACAGAAAAAAGCCAGACCAAAATGTATGTCAGCCTTAATTGTTTTCCTAACTCTAACTTCCTGGAGGCAGAATTGTTTTGACTACATTATCCTCCATATGTGGGATTACAGGTCAGTGAAACAATTTGTGGCTTCTTATTTCTTTTTCCTAGTGTCCATTCCTTTTTATTTTGGTATCATGATCCTAAACCAAACAAAACGTTTCAGAAAGAGAGAACAAAGAGACAATATGAGTTTGTGTGAACCAGTTGTTAGCTGTGTATTTTGCTACTGTATTGTGCTTCTGACACAGTCTGAATATGCCCTGCATTTGTGTGTTTATCTTTCTCACACAATGAATGCATATACTATTCAGAGATCTATCTTAGACCTCATGTTTACAAAACCCTCCTATGTTACCGTGTTCTTTGTCTAAGCTTCAGGGCAGCAGGAGAGAGAGAGAGGGACCGTATGTGTGTGAATGGGTGTACGAGACTGAGGGCAGCGGCTTGAGGGATAATAGGATACAGCCTCGTCTCAGGGGAGGTGGAGGCTGTGACTGTGCAATCATTACAGACATAGATCTATCAGTATGTTGATGCCCTGAGCTCCTCAGTCTCTCCCCCCACTCCCTCCCTGCCTCTCCCCCAGCAGCAGCAAACTCCTCCTCATGTTCTTGTCCTTTCCTTCATAGCTCATCTCTCTTCCACTGGTGTGGTTCCACAATCAGGCTTCAGTCCACAGAATTACAGTGTAAACGAGCTGTTTTTCATTATTGCCAGACCTGTAGCCTCATGGAATAAGGATATATATTAATAATAATATAATAAGAATATCTCTGTAGAAATTTTAGCCTTAATTGAGCAAATAATCTGTTGTTTTCTTTCTAGCAGTGCTATGAAACGTATTCATGTTATATATTAATAATAATACAAAAATAATATCTCTGTAGAAATTTTAGCCTTAATTGAGCAAATAATCTGTTGTTTTCTTTCTAGCAGTGCTATGAAACGTATTCATGTCACTGCTAATTTTCTCTGACAGTAAACACCAGGCAGAAAACAAAGGTTTTATTATAGGACAAACTCCAGAGCTAGCACCTGGATTACTGGTGTTTGCTCAAGAAATGAAAACCTAACCACATGACTGCAATAGTCTTAGCCTTGAGACATCCACAAAGAGTGGATATGAGTGAGATGGCCACTTGATCAATACTGACTTTCACTCACAGTTTAAGTGCAATGTGTAATGAGCTGATATGTTTAAAAAAAAAAAAAAAAAAAAAAAAGAGATCAATATCCTCTGACATTTACAGCGGCAGTACAGTGTGAGGGTTTTGGATCTAAGAGTGGACACGGGTACACAGTCACTCCTGAATGTCAGATGTGGCCGGCGGGAAAACGGTTGAGCAGGGTTGCATCGTTTTACAAAATGTGGTCAATAGCTGAGCTCCTGCCAAAAGTCATATCCCAAATAACATGCACATAGAAGCCAAAGCAAGCCACAAAAGACAGCCAGGTTGAGTGAATAGTGACGCATGCACACAAAGCGTGACTCATTAGTACATTCTGTGGCATGTTGATAAGGTAGTCTGGAGACTTTATCCCTTTGTGTGTTCAGGTAATTAATAGAGGTTATTTCCCTGCTTTAAGCTTCACTACTGAAGTACTGCAACAGTTGCGCACTGGTTAATAGTTGACATCCTACTGTTGAAAGTACATACACAACATCCAAATTCACCGTAATGTCGGGGGCTTGTAGCAGAGAGGGGGGTGTTTTCTGAAATGCATCAAACGTTTAGTTCCTGCTTTATACAAATGAATATTTAAGTGAGATTAGAATAAATATTTTTACAAAAAATGCTTGGTTTTAACTAATTACTGGTCATTTTCCTTTGTTTCTACTTGTCTCTATTTCCAGTTTCGCGTGTTCACTGCACCATTTCACCGGGTGGAGTTTGCAGACTTCTGGCTGGCCGATCAGCTTAACTCTCTGGTGTTTGTTCTGATGGACCTGGAGTATCTCGCCTGTTTCTACATCTTTGAGCTGCAGTGGAGTAACAGCAAGGGCCTGCTGCCCAAGATTATAGGTGAGATATTAATACACATAGTATATATATTCCCCACTCCCCCCACTTTGGAGCAGTCTTATTCCTTCCTTCAAGCTCGGGTCCTCTACCAGAGGCCTGGGAGCTTGAGGGTCCTGCACAGTATCTTAGCTGTTCCTAGGACTGCACTCTTCTGGACAGAGATCTCAGATGTTGTTCCTGGGATCTGTGGGAGCCATTCTCCCAGTTTGGGGGTCACAGCCCCCACTGTTCCTATTACCACAGGGACCACTTGTGCCTTCACCTTCCACATCTTTTCTAGCTCTTCTTTCAGCCCTTGGTATTTCTCAAGCTTCTCGTGTTCCTTCCTTCCTTCCTTCCTTCCTGATGTTGCTATCGCTTGGGATTGCTACATCTATCACTACAGCCTTCTTCTTCTGTTTGTCCACCACTACTATGTCCGGTTGGTTGGCCATTACCAGTTTGTCAGTTTGTATCTATTTCTTTGATTTATTACTTTTGTTAGAGTTTGGTGTATTGCATATTAGGTTTATTGCATGCTAGAATTTCTGCAACCATTAATTGGACATTGTACGTTGTCTTTCAGTCCAGCTTTGTCCAGCCACTGGTAGGATTTTTCAATATCAACCACTTCTTCTATTTGACGGTGGTACATACTGTGCAGAGGTTTGTCCTTCCATGAGGGTTCCTCTCTTCCTTCCCTTGTTCCTCTGGTTTCTGCTGCCTGAGGTGTTCACTAAGCATGTCATCACTCGGGGCCATCTTCCTGATGTATTCATGGATCTTTGTTGTTTCATCCTGGATAGTGGCTCTGACACTCACTAATCCTCGGCCTCCTTCCTTCCACTTAGTGTACAGTCTCAGGATGCTGGACTTTGGGTGAAACCCGCCGTGCATTGTAAGGAGCTTCCTTGTCTTGATGTCAGTGGCCTCTATCTCCTCCTTTGGCCAGCGTATTATGCCAGTGGGGTACCTGATGACCGGCAGGGCATAGGCGTTGATTGCACGGACTTTGTTCTTTCCATTCAGCTGGCTTCTCAGGACTTGCCTTACTCCCTGCAGATATTTGGTGGTTGCTGCTTTTCTTGCGGCCTCTTCATGGTTCCCATTTGCCTGCGGAATCCCAAGGTACTTGTAGCTGCCCTCAACATCTGCTACGTTGCCTTCTGGTAGTACAATCCCCTCTGTTTTACTGGATAACTCAGTGGCTAACACCACTGACTTTGGTATGGAAGGTCGGGGGTCCGAACCCTGGGCGCGGTCAATATCCAGCCTGGGTCCTTAGGCAAGGCCCTTAATGCTACCTGCCTACCTCATGGGTAATGAGGACGTCGCCCGGGTCGACATGGTCCGCGCCAGGTGTTGAGGGACCAGGGCAGCCTGATGTGCTGTGGGCTACTGGACCTTGATATATGTCAAAGTCTGCTGTGTCACAGTTGGTGCAGTGGATGGGCAGAAATATTCACATCACATTTCAAGACAGGAGTGCTCAACTGTCAGGCACAATGTCAACTTAATCTGTCACATTTAGAACCAAAAGACTTGTGTCTTTATATCATGGTGTAACTGATGAAGACAGACACTATGATTACAGCTTTGTTAATACAGTGTCTGCCTTCATCATGATATAAAGACACAAGTCTTTTGGTTCTAAATGTGACAGATTAAGTTGACATTGTGCCTGACAGTTGAGCACTCCTGTCTTGAAATGTGATGTGAATATTTCTGCCCATCCACTGCACCAACCGTGACACAGCAGCCTTCACAAAGCCTATTAACATGAAGCTAATGTGACCCTAACAGTGAAGAGCTTTAATGGGGAGAGAAAGAGAAGACCGTGAGCTCATTAATTTCACTATTTCTTTTCTAGAACCTGTAGACTACATATGCCACAGCTACTCGTACGGCCTGCGCGCCATTATCCAGTGTCTGCCTGCCTGGCTCCGCTTCATCCAGTGCCTGAGGCGTTACCGTGATACCAAGAGGGCTTTTCCGCACCTGGTGAATGCTGGGAAATATTCTACCACCTTCTTCGTCGTCACCTTTGCTGCACTCTACGCAACACACAGAGGTAGGTCACAGGACATAAACACATATGTACACTCAGAGATCTGTTTTATGTGCATTGTACCCCAGGTAGAAGGTTTGATCTGAGGTGAGTAGAAAAGGCAACACAATTGCAGTGATGTAAGAGCCAGCTTTGAATCACAGAGGAATCCAAAAGAGACAGATGTAAGCCTGTCAAACCTGAAAATCTAAAGCAAATTTGTGATGGAAATAAAATTTAAATTGATTCAAAAGCAATTAAAGCATGGCTGTGTTACAGGTGTTTTAGGTGCATGTCAACAACTCACAGGCTTTTGAGCCTTTTGTGTTTGTGTGTTCAGACAGCAGAGGTGACCTTGGTTTTCTTGCCAATGCCTAGAGCTTTATAATGGAAATGGGAAAGGTTTGTCAAACACAGGCATGGATAAACAAATTCAGCTCGCACAATAATGTGTTCAGTCTGAAGGCAGGGTGGGAGGAGAAGTAGCAAAACAGGAAAAGAATGAGAAAGAAAGATCTGTCAGAAACATCACTGGAAGGAGAAAAGCAGAGGGAAAGTGGCTACCATAAAAAGTTAAGTCACTCTCCCACTGACAACTTTACAATTAGCCTGCAATTATTCTGATTCAGAAGCCATATCACAAAAGAGTCCATGTTCAAAGACAGAGTACCCAGGAAAAAAATCCTTTAGCATTCAGCTTGTGTACTTCAACCTGCAGCCTCACATATTTGTCCACATAGTTTGTTTCAAAGCAGATTTTCAGCCATTCATGTATTTAAATTGTTCTCGGATGCCAGTTTATGCATTTTTTTGCCAAAATGTCAGCGATTAAACTTTATCTTCAACCTTTTAAACAGCTAAATGTTATTTCCCAGCTTGACTTTTTTCTTTTCCAGTATAAATTCAAATCAATACACTTGCCTCCTAAGCTGACCACCAGCGATCTGATATTGAATGAACCAGGAAGACAGACAGACAGACAGACAGATGGACACAGCTCAGGAGGAAAAGCATCCATTAAACCATATCCTCCTTCACTTCTGGTCTGAAGCTTGCAGACCCGTAGACTAATGGCCTCTCTTCATGTGTTATTCTGTATGAAGCGGTCTTTCATCCCGCATGATAATGAAGGCTGAGACTGATTGCTGGTTAAGTGAAGGAGGGGGTGGGAGGGCAGACACACACTCGTGGATTGCGAATGGATAATTGAGGAAAACTGCCCGTCATGGAGACAGTTGAAGACTCTCCTGGAGAAATGATTGTTCTGGTATATTTTAAACCTTTGACAAATAAACATGTGCACTGCTGCCAGATTATCCTGCATCCCAATATGAAAATGATGCCTAAACAGCCTCCCAAGCAATAGAAGTGCGAAGTAGCGGTATGAAAAAAGCCTACATCTCTGACACTTGCTGTAGTTTTATTATGTCCCTGCATTACTCAACATCTGTCAGAGAAGACAGCAGGCTGGTGGTGTGTTCACACTGCTGCGTCCAGCTATCAGTCACTATCTGGCAGAGCTCTTGGTGTGTGTGTGTGTGTGTGTGGATGTGTCACCTTCATTGATAACCCGATCACAGCACTGATGCCTACTGCGTGACCTCACCGCCTTTCCGCCTCACTCATTCCCGGAACAGTCCACATTTAGCTCCGGGAAAGCAAAATACTTAATAAATGCAACAAATAAATCAAGGGTTTCCCTGTAGAGGACTGAGAGGTATTCAGTGTCCAGTGCTTCCATTTGCTGATCCGCAACTGTTAAATTAGGAGTCGGGGTCTCCTCTCTGGTGTATATGGGTCAAACTGTGATGCTGTTTCTGGAAAGAAAGTCCAAAGGCTTTTTAAAAAAACAATGTGGCTATGTTGTGGCCATCTGGGATTTGAGGTTGAATCATTTTTGATGCTGTGCAGCAAACGGAGCAGATTTCTGCCCTCAGAGTTCAGTTCAGTGCGGTGAATGCATGCTATCATGAACCTGTAATATCAGCAGATGCTCAGAGGCCTGTAACCAGAGACATAATGGAGGATTTGCTGGTTTAGGCAGTTCCCAAATGCTGTAAGATATGGTCTGAGAGCGTCACAATAAAGCTGATGGTTTACTCAGGATCAATACAGGCTCGGCTTTATGTACTGTAGAGTAGGTTGAGGCTAACTGCTGTTTTAAATACAGGGACGTTACAGGCCTAATGCTGATTTATAACCCATGAGATTTATATCATGGGCATTCAAAGATATGAGGACATGATGTTGCATGGTCAGAAGGAAAAACCCAAGCCTCTAATAGACAGGCAAAGTTGTTTGGATCGGAAAATAACTAAATGCATGGTGTAATTTACAAAATGAGAGATCATGATTGAGGAAAGATGAGGTGTGTGCCAAGTCAGTACACAAAGGATTTTAAAGATACCCCCCGACCTGTAGTATCCACATTAAATACTCCAGCCAAAATAACTCTGACCATGAGTCCTGCTGGTCTCTGTGAGAGGTTGACTGTGGTGCTAAAGGTCAAGCTCCTGTGAAGGATGAGTACATTTAGAGCTGATAAAGTACAGAGGGGGAGGTAAAATGAAAGATGGAGGGAGGAAAGACGTAATGGAGAAAACACAAAAGCAGCTGAGGGAGGTGAGGAAAGGGACATGAAAGGGATTCTCAGACTTAACAGACGCAAAACACAAATAGTGGTAGGAAGAGGAGAGAAGAGGGAGAAATGTGTAATTACCAACCCAGCGCTCAAAACGTGTCTGCTGGATTCTGCTGGAATATCGATGAGCCCAGAGCTGACAGCTTTTATAACTTTATTTCATGTCCTGACCCCATGGTTCAGTATCACGAAGGGAATAGCAACACACACACACACACACACACACACACACAGACACTCTCGCCGTCAAACCAGTGAAGATAACACATGCTGCTCTCAGTCAGATCTTTCTGCCTGAACTCTAATTCACCCGCTAAGGCCAAACAGACTCCCATTACAGCTAATATATTCACATCTGGAGCCAGGCACAAACCATCAGTTATGAGGGTGCATCCTCTGTGCATGTGAATAGGACACAGCAGTGGTGGAGGAAATATTCAGATCCTTTACCTAAACAGAAGTACTGATTGTTTTTGCTCTAAACCTGTTTCCTTCAGTGGGGCTCTTGCATAGAATGAACCTGCTGAAGTGCTGTCTTTAATAGCATTTAATCTCCTGGGTGCCTGTAGACAACAATGCTGTGTGTGTGTGTGTGTGTGTGTGTGTACACGACAGACTACAAGCAATTGAGTGTGTGACAGAAGCCAGTGACCACCGTTGGCCTCGACTGAGCATCTGATCAATGTCCATCTCACTGTGTTTAACCTCTTAATGGCCCAGTGGCTAACCAGGCTAGCGGAGAAAAACATCAGCCTTAACAGGAACTGAGGGGTTAAATACACTTTACAGGCCGAGTAAATCACATCTGTGGGCATTCTCCAGTGAAGAGAGTCTATTGGCCAAGACTAAGTTAAATCTACGGCTGGGAAATCTCAGTGTGGCCATAGGGACTCCTCCTGTCCCATCGCTCAGCTGAAGACGCAAACGGCACAATAGATGCAGCAGTTACCGGAGCAGCGCAGCAGTAACTCTGTTAGAAATGTCCCCGGTGTCTCACTGGCTGCTAGTAGGAACAAGCAGTGACTATGACAAATAGGAGCGAGCCTGGTCTCTGTGTGGTGGCTGCTGCCTCTGTCTGTGTGAGCCACTGTGTTAGGCCACTGGGTGCTGATTTATACATCAGTGCTCACTGACAAGCGAATCACATCCACAGCAATCCTGCATAGACACACGGGTGCAGCTTAGATCACACAGTTCATCAAACACCTGTAAACTAGCTTGGAGCATGTTGCATTGACTGTGGGGAGTTTGGCACCGTTGTCATTATAACCAACGTGCACTTATCACAGTCTGCTCTGTTTTGTTATGACAACATTAGTCAGGATATAATAAAGTGCAACAAAAATGGAACACAAGCAGAACTCATCAGAAAAGGAAACTTGGTGAGCTAATAGTTTTCAAAGAAACTGGATTTGTACATGGAAAAAGAGATGATCCCATGGAGCAACAGTTCATCATGGTTAACAACACAAGTACATTCAATGTACAGTAGCTGCTTGTCCTTTAGAGAAGCCTGTACATTGACTTCACAAACAAAGTAGTCTTTAATTGGATAATAGAAAAATCACACTGTTTGGGTTGTGACATGTATTCTTCTCTACATGCTTCTACAGCAAAACAGAAGTACTGATTACTTGTCATGGAATCAAACATTAAATGAACATTAAATGTCAACAATTATGATATTCTGTCATTCATTTATCAGTACAAAATAAAAAAAAGACAGTAATTTATGGTTCCAAAACGACAGCACTATTGTACTGGACACAATGTTTCTGGTTCTGTATGTAGCATTAGTAATAACGTCCAACCTTGAAGGTTAGTTTCAGAATAGTTTCTATTTATAGTGACAATAAGAGCCATAATAAAACTGTGACTACTGTTGAATGAGTTATTGCTTTAGCCAGTCCTTGAAAAAAAGAGAATTAGTGGAAGGTTATGAAATAAGTGAAGAAATCTTAGTGCAGTCCTGAAGAACAGAGGAAGCTAAACTGTTATAACTACCTTGGTACATAATATGTATATGTATATACCGGTATGTTGTATATTTTTATCAATCATTGATAGTGTATTCCTCACAGGAGGGCTCCCTCTAGTGGTGACTGTATTAATGCAAAGTACTGATAACTCCAGGGAGGCGGACTTTATAAAGCTTCTTTGTTTAAAAAAAACAAATGCATGATCTCCTTTTGTGTCAGATCCGAACCAGTCATGAAAACGTCTTGAATGTAGTCATCTGACATCGGTTGTTTTTATGTGTCGAATTCAGAACAGAAACATACGGACGCCGACATGTTCTTCTACCTGCTGATCGTGTTCTCGATCATCAGCTCTCTGTACACACTGATCTGGGATTTGCGCATGGACTGGGGTCTGTTTGACCGTGGAGCCGGAGAAAACACTTTCCTCAGAGAAGAAATTGTTTACCCCCACAAGGTAGAACCTGATATTATACACACACACACACACACACACACACACGCTGTTGCTTTAATCTTGTCTTTCCTGTGTGCAGGCCTACTACTACTGTGCCATTGTAGAAGATGTGATCCTGCGCTTTGCCTGGACAACCCAAATCTCCCTGGCGACCATGAACAAGATCTACTCTGTGGGCGACATCATTGCCACTGTGCTTGCTCCTCTTGAGGTCTTCAGGTGGGTCCCAGTAACATGACAAACAGTTTTATGTGAAATCTACAACACAATAATGTGTTCAAAGAGAAGAGGGATCTGAATACTTTCTGAAGCCACTGTAATAACAGACAATGGAGATACATTTTTCTAGATGTTGTACAACATGTGCCTGCATGCCACACAACGCCATAAGCACCAGCAGTGATCTCTAAAACATTAGTGTCATTCTGTTTAACCATCTTTCTGCAGGCGTTTTGTGTGGAACTTCTTCCGTCTGGAAAACGAGCACCTGAATAACTGTGGTGAGTTTCGTGCGGTGAGGGATATCTCTGTGGCACCGCTCAACGCTGATGACCAGACGCTGCTAGAGCAGATGATGGACCAGGAGGATGGTGTCCGGAACCGCTCAGGCAAGAGGACCTGGAAGAGGTCCTACAGCCTGTCACTCCGACGCCCCCTGCTGTCAACCACTCAGTAAGGAGAAACACAGACCCTATATACTCACACACTTCTCTGTTAATTAGATTTAAAAAGACTGAAGAGGAGGAAGATACAAATAACTGAAGATAAATATATGGGTAATAATATGAAACAATCAAGGATTGTTTACATCTCTCTTCTTGTTTCCATTTTCTTAAAAGGTGGCATTACTACATTAACACACAGGGTACATCCCAATTCTCTTATAAGCCCCATTGTTTCCCTCACTTCCATCTTTTCCTTGTGTCTTAGTCCTGTCCATGTAAAATATGAGGAAAACATGAGGAGAAAGGACTTGAGGAAACGCATTATTAACGACATGGGACATCCTTTCCTCCTCCATCTGAAGTGCCCAGTCACTGATTTCTAATAAAGGGGCGTATCAGAAAACAAAAAACTTCCATGAAGGACGATCTCGTGTTTCCTCCAGCGGCCTAGTCTCTCTTCAGTCCTCAGAGCCGATATAAGGACTTGGAACATCCTATGTCCTCGGTCGAACAGAACGAATTTCAGGTCGACCAAGGATGTTAGAACAATCTTATGAGAGACATGAGATGTACCCATAGTGTCTGTTTGAACTCTGAATTCTAGATAGAAAATACCAAAAAGGAAATGAAGCACCTGGACTTCTTGTTTTCACAGTTCACTTACCATTTATCAAGCTGGAGACGGACACCTAGTGTCTGACTTCAAGAAGTGTTAGAGACCAAACAACTTGAAAGCTGAATCACATGATCAGTTTTTTTTTTTCAAAAGTCACACAAGGTAAAAGGTATCATAGACACCCCCCACCCTCCTAAAAAAAAAACATCACAAAGGCAGCTGTGAGGATCTGACGATAATGTAAATGTTGAAATGTTACATTAAAAACATTTTGCCAAATAACTTTTTTGTAATGCTTTTTTGTTTTTCTAGATCAAAAAAGGATACAAAGGTGCTAATTGAAGACACGGATGACGAGGCCTTCAGCTGAGTTCACAACGTCAACATGTACACACACAAATACACACAGGCACACTATACTTATAAGGACCTCGTTCGCTAATGCCCAGCCTCGGCTCTATCCCTCAGTCCAAACCTTTTAAATCGGTGAGGCCCATCAGTCCGGACTCACTTTGGAGAATTTACCTCATTTTTACCTCTTTGCGAGTACGATTGGTCTTTATAAGTATAGAAGTACACACTGACCCACAAACAGATAAACCTGCTGAAGCACAAACAACATATTGCTACAGACGTCAAGGGAAATCTCCTGCACACAGCTGGCAACACAGACCACACTGCCCTGGGATTGTCCTCTTCTTTTTTAAACAGACGTTTTTAGTATGTGTAGTTTACTTTGAGATATTTCTGTTTCTTTAGATTTTTCTTTACTTTTTTCTGGACTTATTTAGGAAAAGCTACATAAGTCGGCTACAGACGACTCTTTACACCTATTTTTAACAACAGTAGGATCAACAGGGAGAAGACGGCCAATCAAAAGACTGCATTTTAATCAATAGAAACCTGAGGAAGGACTTGACACACATCACAGCATATCAGATCAAATCAACTGGTTTCAACTTGTTGATTCTTTTTATACTCTATTGTTTTTGTTGTTTGTTTTTTTTTGTCAAATCACAGCCCTGGAGGCACTTGCAGGAAATGTGCATTTAATACACAAAACATGAAAACTTGTACACAAAAGGGATGTTTTGATTCAAACATTTCTAATTTGTGAAGTTGCTTTGTAATATATTTTAATATATTTGGATGTGCATTATTATAGTTGTTTAGTACTTCTACATATTGTTTATACTAGTGAGACTAGTTTGAGCACCCACACAATGATTGTTAATGTGTTTTATAATATTTGTAATGTTTTTCTTGGTTAGACTTTTAATAAGATCATAGTGATGCCCAACCTGACGTTGGAGCAAAATTGACTTGTGAATCATCACATGTATTGTGATTGTGTCATGTTAACTTAGTGACTATGTGTATGTGCTTTAACCACCAAAGCTTTGCTATGAACGTGTCAGTGGCTAGTGCAGCTTTGTTCAAGGTAACCAGAGCCAAAAATGTAATTTTTAAGATTGGAGTGCTGTTGTTTTATTTTCTTGGGCTGTTTTGGCAGGTATAGTAGGTTCTGTATTGTTTGGAAATCCCAGTTGTATGAACGGAATTAGTGGTATCACTGTCAACACTTGTTTACCTTATGATCAGAGGCATGACTATATTTGCCAGTTGTTGTCAAACTGGGAACAGGACCAGGGGTTAAAATGTGCAGCACTGTAGATACTGGTTGAATCCGAGTCAGAGAGACTTTCTTCAAACAGCAGCATGACAGGTAAATTGCAAAATACAGCTGGTCTTTGATTGGGAAAAAAGAAAAACAAGCTATACCTATCAAGCAAACATATTTGTCATGAACTCAGTATGAAAAGGTCTATAGTAGGCTCATGTTTACTGTCAACATCTCAGGGGAGCAGTTTGTGTGTATAACCTTTGCACTTTGGACACAGTTTAACTTTTAACACACTGGAATCACAACTTTTAAGAGACATTTGTGAAAAGAAACATGCACTTTGTGTTCTAGATAACTTGATTGCAGTAAGATTCAAGTTGTATCCTAATGTCAGTTCTTGTTTTTGAGTGCAGGGTGTGACACGAAGTGTTGGAGAACCATTGAGCACAGGTGCAATGTAACACATGGTGACCGCACCAGGGCGCTGCTGGATGATCAGGCCCCCTGACGAGGACTCAGTGTTGCCAGATTGGGCAGTTTTACTTTTTAAGTAATTGTGCCGGTAAATATTGTTTTGGGTGGCTTGTGATCATTTAAGCTACAGTGTGTAGCATCGTGCTGGTTTCCCCCAATGACAAGTTAAATTAGGCTAGATCCAGTGAGTCAGGCATTTTTTTTAACATTTGGATTGACATTATTATAAAACAGAAGGCACTAGGATGAAAACCTGGACTACTTCTGTGAGGACTGGTTGGGTTTGAGGCTCTGATTGAGCTTATGCTCGTATCTATAATCCCCAAGATTTTTCACAGCTGCTATCCTGCTCTAGGCCATATTCAGCATCGATGTCTGTTTGTTTGTATCAAACGTTCTTTTGTTTCTTTTAGCATTTTTCTGAGTTCACATGCTATGATTTGATATTTCAAATGTAGACCGAGTTCCACCAACCAGGACAAACATGCAGTACATCTAACATCGATTAGCCTCTTTGTCTTGTTCTCAAACCACCAGCTCATGCTTGAAGAGCTGCTGGTGTTGCTGCTGGTTGTCAAACAGTGCTAACTTTAATGCTGTGTGAGTGTGTTTCACTTCCTCTTCCTGTTTGACCTTGTCACTCAGCTCTCCACTCTGCTGTTCCTCCCTGTGGCTACACTGTGTCAAAGCCCAGAGACACAGTCCTGTCCTGTTTCTTCTATACTTCAGTTCTTTTTCCTATAGAGTGAGGAGCTCCTGTGTGCAATGCTAGAAAGTAAAAATACACTGGACACATGCCATAACTGCAGACACACATGCACATGGACATCCTGCATTGCCTCTCTCGTGTCAGAGAGCACAACGCTACAGCAGACACTTTGTAAAATGGCTCTGTTGTCTTGTCTGCATGCTGCTTTTGTTTTACATTGTATATAGATCTTAATTTATTTGATATGTGTATCGGCAATCGTTGCAACCACTGTGACAATTGATGTCATATGTTGCCATTTTTGCTCCAAGGCAAGCAGTATTTTCTAGGTGATTACAATCCTGCACTTTTTCCATGTGTAAATCTGTTAAAAATGTGTTCATATAAAATTAGGGAAAAAATCCACAGCAATGGAAAATGTGATTAGTTGTCTTCTTGTTTGATTACTTAAGGCTTCATCATCTCTGCAGGGAGGAGGGGGTTTCCTGTGTCCTGAAGCTGTGATACTGTTTGTACATTTGTGAAATGTGCATGAAAATACTGTAGACATTGCATCTGTTCTTGTGACATGCCCTGCAGACAGAAGTACTTTTACTATTTATTGTAACGGGGTGCAGGAATAGACCCCGGTCCAGAGAGATGCTGTTAAACTGAGCCCAGATCTGTCTAAGCTTATCTCACAAACAGATCTGGACCCGTTTTTGCTCACTGGAAGCATTTAGGGTTTCTGGGTGAAGAAACAAAATGTCGTAGTGAGTCTGTTCACAGATGTTTTGTACGGTTCATGTTCAAGGAGGTGGTGGTGATGGTGAAAAGCCCCGACCTCCCATTTTTCTCATGGGTGAAAACCACAGATGTTTGTTTTCACTTTTGCTGTAAGCTTGATACGTGTGCACCCGCCCTCTCTCGATGTTGTTCGTACCTAAATGTGATAGTACCTGTAGTTTGGTAGATGGATGCTCTACTTTGATAAGATACAAAAAAAATTATAGAATAAATACTATGTGGCTAAATGTGATTTTAAGAAACAAAGGAAAATGTCATAGTCTGAATCATTCTCCCTGACTTCCTTTTACAGAGTAGTTTGTACATGTCAAATGTATAACACTGTTCTATGATGGTATTTGTATTTCTGTATACACTTTGGTGATCCTGTCATATCTGGGTTTTATAAACCATGGTTATTTTTAAAACTCGCTCTGCCTCTTGACTCTATTGAATTTTTAAGTGTTGCAACCTACTCTGACCTGTTGGTTTCTTGCAGTCTCCAGTGGGCCTGGTTTTAGTGAAGGTCTTCATCGTTCCTGGTGCGGTTTTGATGCACTTCAATAAGTACTGGTACACACACACACACACCTATTTCTCTAACACCCTTGTTTACTGTGGGGGTTTGTTTCATCTTGTCCGTGGGTTCTGCTGGGTTCACAAAGTTAAATTTGGGACTTTCTTAATACCACATAGATTAATTTTATACCCATTTTATAATCGTACATCATGGAAGAGGATTAGGGCTACCAAAACAGAAAAACTTCCTCGAAGTCATACTTTAAACTCACACTTCAGACTTAGTTTTTCTCAGAATTCTGAGAAAACGTCTGAATGACTTTAAAGCTGACTTAAAAAAATTTACAATTCTGAGATTAAAGTCAGATTTAATAATAACGAACTCAAGTTTTGTGTCCCTCATCCTCTTCCATACATAGCAGCCAAGGTATGAAAAATCCTGAAGGGTTGATATGGCCTACAAATACATCACATTTTTGTCAGTACTTCTCAGCAGTATGTAATAATTCCCAATGATGTAATTAAACCTGGACCCTGTTTAGCAGCGGATGAGTCGATTAACCAATTGAAAGTGAAATGCAGAGAAACTGAAAGAGATAACTATGTACACTCAGTTTCATCGTTAGTCACTCATTACCCCTTTAAATAAACATGCAGCCTAGTGATTAAACACAAAGTTGCAGGTCCTGACAAGATTTAGTTCTTGACGAGGCTGACACCATCTAAAAAGAGGTTAAGGAAGTTGTCCAAAAGCACTGGCAGCTTTAAGAGATGATGGGGTTTTTTTCCCCCTTGATCCTGGTGGGCAGAGAGAGTCCGACACCATTAGGTTCAGCGTGCCAACTAGCAAAAATTTGTCATCCTGAAAATCTCACTTTTTGGCAAAGAACAAGCTGTTGCACAGTCAAACACTTTGTGACAAACGATCCAAGAAACCCTTAAGTCTTTTTTTCCTTTTTTAAGAGAAAGCATCAGCTAAAACGTTAAACATTTGACAAAACCGTCTCACAACGTCCATTTAGTAGCTGTTCTGGAGCTTTCAATTGTACGTATTCCTCAGCAGTTGGAGATTGCCTAAATACACAGTCATTTACTCATTTTGTGCAACATAGACAAGACCAAAAACTGAAATCTGAACATCTACATGACAAAAATCCATGTGCTGTGGAACACCAGGTGCTTTGAAAAGCTTTAGCATAGCTACTAATGGGCTTTGTGGTGCACTAAATACATCAGGAAGGAATGTATAAAATGAAATGCAATCTAGCACAACAGCTGCGCATCCGCGTCCTACAAACAAAGAAAAACAACCTAATTGTAGATTTAAGGAACAAATTATTCAGTTTAAAAATCACTGCCAAATTATTGATTCATCATTTGAGCTCTAATTTAGTTTTAGGTAAGGCTTGTGTTGGTTTAACTCTAGTTTCACATGCAGTCACTGCTGATCAAGCCAACAAACAACCTGCCAGTCAATGTCTAAGAAGGTCACAACTAGGTTGTTTATTTTATAACTGATACAGGATAAATGTTATACATTCTATTTTAACACTGATATTTTGCTTTTATTTTCAATGTCAGTATGCAAAACAGACTATGCAAAGTAAGTATTTGGTGAAATCGTGAATATAATACATAATTTGACTGTTTCATCAATATTAAACCAATTAACTTTTAAGGACTCCTTGTTCCTCTGGTGAAACTTGTTTAGCTACAACACAAAAAAGGAAAAATACAAAAAAAAAAATTCTAAACATCAAGAGTTGGCTGACAGCAAACACTGTAAAGAACCACATGATCAACTCGTGTAGATGCATATAAACTACAGGATCCCTGTTGTACATATGCACATACAGTAATAATGCTGTTACTAGAGTTGTAGAGCCTGTACGGGGCATACAAACAGACAAAATGAAGAGAAAAGGATACACACGCATACACGTTTACCATGATCTCTCCATATAAACACGCTTAAACCAACCAACAAGCAAGCAGAAGGCTCTCTGGCTTTAGAAGCTAAAAACTACACTTAAAAAAAAAAAAAAAGACAAACACATTCACATTTCTTCAACAAAGTCCATGATCTCGTAACTTCTTGCTGATCAACCGTCTCTGTCCGTTGGTCAGTACAACTTTTAGTGCCACCAGAAAAAGCTAGAATGAGGATGAGCTCCGTTTGTGCCATTGTGTCCAACAGTTCGCTCTCACTGTCTGCTGCGGTGTCCTGTCCCCCCACTGCACACTCATTCACTCGCTCGCTGTTTCTTCATCCACGAGTGAGACTGAATGAGTGAACGTGTTGTGGAGGAAGGTGGAGAAGTCAATGTCTGTGTTTAGTGTGAGTGTCCTGAAGTCCATGCATTTACCTGCGTGTGTCTGTGTGCGTACTGCATGTCCAGCTCTACGGTGACGCTGGGGCTTTGCTACCGCTGTAATGAACTTGATATCTGTTGACCGTCTGCCCTTTCACCTCCAGCGACAGGCAGGTAGTCTTGCAGGGGATCATGTCCTCTTCCTCCTCGCCCATTAGCCAATTCTGCACGGAGCGTTCAGCTGAGGCCATAACATGATTGGACAGCCAGCCCTGGTGCCACTTGTCAAAGCGCTCATGCTGGCTCGCTGCCACTCTGTGCTGCGACTGTGGAGCCAGAAGAAACACTTTCAGAGCTTCATCTATCAGACAGCAAACAGGATTTACTGTGAAGAAAAACTGCACAACTGGAAACTAATGTCTGAAGTGAAATACAGACTCCACTCTACCTTCCTGGCCTTGACCAGCGCTCCTCGGCGATACATGTAATCCTCGGAGTTCATGACAAACACCATCTTGTGAGTATTGAGTTTAAATCGACAGTCCAGGCTCCCAGCGTTCTCCACACCCAGCTGGCGGTGCCACTCTCTCCTGCAGCGCATCGCCTCCACCTGCCGCACCTGCCATCGACGGAAACGCCGCAGGTTCCTACGGGAACAGACATTAGTCTTAAAAAAAAAATTGTGGTTTGATTACAATTTTGATGACAAACAGATCTTTACAGATCACTAAAGTCACATGTGGGAACAAATTTTAACAAGATTGTCTGTAGCTAATGATGCAAAAGTAAAAAATGAGCCTAAAAGAAAACGGGCCATTTACTAGTCAGACATCCTCAACTAGTGATTTTTTAATATTAAATGCCACTGATAACCGTGCACTGGACCAAAAATGCCACCTAAAATAAATGATTTTTAAATGTACACTGAGATACAAGTATATTAGTAGATCCTTAAAATTTCATGCAACAACAACCGGCTCTGTACTAAATTTCCTGTGACACAGTGTCATTAGGTTCTTAGAGAATGTCGGACATGATTCCACTCTGTTTTTGGTGGCGGTGTACTAATCTAATTATGTGCCACAATGATTTTGTCACAGAAAATGCAAAATCTTAGTCTTAAATTGTATTTTTAATGACCTCAGTGCCAAATGTGTGCAAAGGAACAAACTTTCTTCCGTTTATTTACTGAATGTCCTGTGCTAAAAGTGTTTCACTGTTGGCAAAATATGTAAAACGAGTGGTAAAGCAGTAAGAAGCCAAGAAAGATCGGTTTCAAGTGCATAGCTGGTCTGGTTGTGTCCGAGTTCTCACACAAATATATTAAGTTGGGGACTGGAGCACAGCGCACTGAGCTTATTTATATACATGTTATGTTTCTTGTAAGGTTTAATTTAAAGAAATACTAAACTGTTGATGTTTACAAAAGTTTGTAATAAAAGACAAATCATTTTATGGTGGATTTTTTTTCTCCTTACTGTACTGAAAGTGAACTGAACCATGACTTTAAAACCAAGGTAAGTACTGCACTGTGATTTCTGTGTACCATTACACCCCTAGTAGAAATAGTGTCAAACCTGGGCAGAAACACAGGTTTGAAGAAGTAGCCCTCTGCCTGAGAGCACAAACTGGACTCTGTTCCTACAAACTGCTCCATGTAGCTCGACAAGCACTGAAGGGGGAAGAGAGCACAGACAGAGCAGGTTCCATTGTGTTTAACCTCCGATTATTCTGTGTGGGAAAACAAATATTTCAAATGGTTTGTAAATGTGCGTTTACCTGTACATCCAGTGGGTCGTCAGCCTGGGCCTCCTCAGTGTCCAGCAGCTCAATGGTCATAGTCACATGACCCTTGTTTTGGATAAACATCACCTGACACACAAAATGCAAAGAGAGAAATCTGGTGTTGTACTAGTGTCCAAATGAAAACAGACAAGCAGGGCCCAGTCATGAGGGTAAAAGCTGCAAGTAACTAAAGCAATAGTGCTGAACATTTCCTGTAAAAATAAACGAGTTGTGAAAGAAAATGACGTAGAAGCCATTTTTCTCCCGTCATGATCATTAGTCCTCAAAACACTCCGTGTACTTTGCTTTCTTGGTTATGTTTAGTGTTCTGAGAATGTTTTACCATCCTCTAAAATTACTGAACATGTGTAAACAGCATATTTCTGAAGCAGAGAAAGCTGAGCTTACACTGCTTCAAACGGCAGCAAAATGACAGGGCCATGTCTACGCTCTGCTATGGTCAGCAGGACTGCACGCTCACCTTGAAGCAGTTCTCCTCAGCCATGACTCTCTCAGCCTTCCACTGGTAGCTCGTCTCCCAGGCAGCTCGGACACACTGTGAGGACAAGTTCCCCCCCGCTGCCCCCCGCTTCCTCTCAGCCAGGTACAGATCAACCACCTGCAGACACACCTCATCACTCACCAGGTGCTGCAGCTGCAGACAAAGAAAGCAGAAGGTGAGAAAGCGACAGGGGACAGATGTGAAAGCACGTTAGAAGATTTGGGGAAGGCCTCTGCTTACCTGCCGAATTATGTTGTGGATGACCTTGTCAATGGTAAAGCCAATGTAGGCGTGGATGGTGAACATCTCTCTCAGGGTGTCTTCATACTGTGTGGAGTCCAGGTTGCCATCCAGCAGACTGCGGACCATGTCCAGGAAGGCCGGGTAATACTCCTCCAACTCCACCTCACCTTAGGAAGAAAGGGATGTCACATCTGTTACAAGACCACATCATTACAAGTCATCGGTGTGGACAGGACTGGGACACCAGTTCACACCTCTAGTGTGAATAAAAGAACATTCAAATGCAGTTTCTGACCAGGAGCAGTGATCAGTGTAAGCATCCATCCATCCATCCATTTTCCTCCGCTTATCCGGGACCGGGTCGCGGGGGCAGCAGTCTAAGCAAAGATGCCCAGACTTCCCTTTCTCCAGACACTTCCTCCAGCTCCTCCGAGGGAAT